GGGTGGGAGGGATGGCGAGCATGGGAACGATGGGTACTGGCGCGACGGATCCGGGAGCGATGTATAACTTTTTGTTGAGTACGCCGACGGTTTGAGTCTGCATTTGAAAGACACGAGAGAGGAGAGAAAAGAGAAAAGACAAGAAAAGAGACGAGAGAAGAGGAAAAGAGAGGAAAAAGAGAAAAAGACGAGAGAGGATAAGATTTACCCCCCCATTTGTTTTCCGTTTTTTTCGGTTTTCGATTTTGCGTTTTTTTATAGACTTTCTTTATTAGAGATATTTATGTCCCGCCACCAAATGTTTTGTATAGCTTTAGAATTTCACGCATTTTCAAGTTGTCTTGGTTTAGTTTAGTTTTTAGTTTCGGAACACTTACACCTTACACACACACCCACACTCACGCAAACAACTGATAACACTTGTAGATACACATTTTGAGACAACAAATTGATTACAATATTACCAAGAATTAAGAAAATGAAAGTAACTTGAAAAGTTGAGGTATTGCGTCAACGCAGACAATCCTTGCACATAAAAGCACCTACCTCGGATCTACCTTCACAAACAGGATTTGGACTCGCCCTCCCTTCTTCGACCCATCCCCGAACCGCACACACAACCCCATTCACAAGAACCTTCCACCATACATATCACATAATCATCGTAAATGAACTCCAATAATCCCGAATCGCCGGCGTCACAATCTTCTCTTCCTTTCCTTTCCCCCGCTTTCTCCTTCCCTCCTCCTTCCCCTCGTTCGTAACTTTGTGCACCCCATTTTAGACTATTTTCGCTTTGGAATTTGCACAAGAAAGATCATAACCCCATGTTATTGTTCCGCTGCTCCGTCCACTGGCAGCAAGTATCATAACCCATAAGATGTTCGGTAAATAAAGCAATTTACAGTAATTTAAAGCGTGCATTCGATTCAAGTTTCAAGTTTTTTATCTTCCCCCCATGATCATCGGTTTGGGTTTCTAACTTTCTACCTACCTTCTCACTTTGATGTATCCGGGAAACCATTATTAAGTTGACGTTCGTACCAGCTCTCGTCCAAATTCTTCCACCAAAGTCGATTATCTACCCACTCCCACCTCCATAACCTCCTTTCATATCTTGAGTGAATCGGTTAACCTGGTTTTGGAGCAGGCTGAACGTCTGAACAGGAGTGGGGTACTTCACAAAAACAAGCTACATAATGGGTTCGACTTGAAAGTATCTTGAAAACAAATGAGTTTGCGAATGCGAAAACGAAAAGGAAAAGAAGGGAAAGGGAAAAGGGAAAGGGACGGGAAGGAAGGGGAGGTCTTCTACCTACGAAAGAGTGGACAAGAGAGATAGAAGGGGGGGGAACTGTGTGTGCGGGTACGAGAAGTACCGGGATATCTCCCGGATTCAGCCCCCACCACCACCTCCTGTCAAATAAGCGAGTTAGCGTTCAAAGTCGTCAAAGGTTTCATCATCATGATGATGTTGTAGTGGAGTTTGGCGTTCGCTTCTTGGTTTTGCTGCACTTTTTCCCAAGATTGAGTGGAAGATCTGATTCAGAGATTCAGATCCGGCATATCGATAATCCTCAGATTCAATCCTTCAGTTGATTTTCTCAATGTAAAAACCCAGGTCTTGTTGCGGGCCTTGATGTTATGGACCCGCGCGTTCATGAGGCCTGGAAGTTGGAACTCTCGACTTAAAAATTTGAAATGCAGCATGGCATTCCACATGCTCCCAATATCAATATCAATATCACCGCGGCCATCCAGGTTCCCAGATCTTCCAAGAAGAATGTTCTGCGATCTTCATCCGAAAAAAAGGGGGGAAAACGAATAGAAGGGAATGGAAGAGGGACGAGTGAATGAGAAAGGAGCTAGAGTCACAAGACGACAAGAGATAAAGGAAGAGGGTGAATTGGTAAACTGGTGGACAGAGCAGCGTTCTATCATACATTAGTATTTGCCATGATCGTACTTTCCGTAATACGTCCCATTGCAGTTCTTCCCGTCGTAATACTTCCTGTTGCAGTATTTGCCAATCGAACGTGCCCTGAAGAGAGCGACTGGATGGTAGGAAAAGACGGGAAAGGACCGCGGTTTTATAAGCGCATCTTTGTTCAACTTGGACAACTGGTGAGGGGATGTGTGAATTGACATGTTCGCACTCACACCTCACAATGCCACGGTAACCCAGGGGTCGTGAGAGAACGCACGAATTCATAAGCTGACAAGTCGAACGCATTTGGACCTTCCTGGAAAACAAATCAATACAGACAAGCTAACGACAGAATCTGATGTGGGATTCACGTCAACCGCGGAGAATAAGCATATGGGTGAGCCCGAGAGATGGATTGAAACAAAATAGCAAGGATATCGAACAGCTGCCGCAATTATTATGGAGTGATTCAAAGCTGGATTGACTCGAACTTCACGAATGAGGTTTGGAGGACGCGCCGCTCATGCCCTCAAGGCTCTGGTTTTTATTGGAATCCTCTGAAGGTTTCAAAGGAGAATGCGCACACGAAATAAAATACTGCCCGGAGCTTCTAAGAAGAGTGGTCTGCGAGGATAGGCTGGGGCAAAAAAACGAAAAACAGTGGAGTGCCATTGAAATATATGTCGATTCGACCCATTTGCAATCGGTGACGTCCCACTTTCCGTTTGATGCCCGGATATATTTCAATGGCGCGTTATTGCTTTTCGTTTGATACCCAGACCCAGTATTCCCACTTTCCGTGTGATGCCCGATATATTTCAATGGCACGCCACTGCTTTTCGTTTGATGCCCAGACCCAGTACCTCCACGGACCCTCCGCATTTGACAGAAGCGCCCAGCGTGGGGGTCGAACCCACAGTCTTGGGATTAAGAGTCCCACGCTCTACCGGATTGAGCTAGCCGGGCTGTGTGTATAGTGTTTGACAGGTGAAAACGAAAGAGGGTAACCGAAGCAAACTTTCAATCTACTTAACAGAGATGAGAAATTCGAAAAGATTCGCAATTGCAAGGTTTCGCGACATTGGTAGTTGGTGGATGCATGCTGCATTTCAAAGTGTCGAAACTCCTAATGACGCGCGCGTCATAAGAAGCTTAAGCTCAAGGCGCCACTGGTTTTCAGTGAAACTGAAGGATTGGATGGAAGTCGTTTGAAGATGTGCAGATCTGAATCAAATCTTTAAAGTTCATCAGCACCAGCCGCAGGTGCTCCAGGAACACTGCAATGTGCGGCAAACTGAGAAGTACCAGATCAGGAGTAGGACTGTGGAAAATAGCGTTTTCAACATGGGATTTGCTTGTGTTGGGTATTGGTGCAGGTCAGAGACGTGTCAAGATCAAAAGGCTTTGGGACTGCAAGAATTCGAATTTGGAATGTTATGTATGTATTCCACAAACTGCGTTTCGTTTTGGGATGGCTTTTCTGTCAAGATGGATGTGGAACGGGATTTGCGGGTGAGGAAGATGGGTGCGAAACATGTCAAAATGAAGAAAAAACGAACATCTATGCTCTAACAACACACCAACAAGGGAGCTCAAGAAACATTCATCGGAAATGGGAATAAGAATTACATTTGCTTCGAAATCCGGCCTCCCGGAGTTGAACCGGGGACCTACAGATGCCTGTGGCGCCATTGATCTCAATAAAGGCGCTGCTACAGTCTGCCGCTACTACCAACTGAGCTAAGGCCGGATTGATTGCTCATAGTCACTGCAGACATCCTATGCTGGTTTCGATGAAGGAATTAACGCGAAGAACCAAGCTTTATTCTCCTTCAGCTCGGCCAAATCTCGTCAGACTCACATATCAAATGAATGCCACAAAGCAAAGCAGGTTGTGTTTGGCGTGCGCTCGGCGGAACAGAAAGAGGAAATATTTCCTTAGAACTTGTTTGCACACCGTCATGTTTACACCCCTCTACATCCCTTTTGATTCGAACATCTGAAGAGAGATGCCTGCGACGTTTTCATTTCAAAGAGCTCGAGGGTGCGCTCTCTCGACATTCATTTGATATTTTAGGCCGACAAGATTGGGCCGAACTAGATGTGAATAAAGCTTGGTTCTTTGCTTTTAATCTCTTCAATTCCTTCATCGAAATGCCGATAGGTTGCCTGCCGTGACTTAGTGCAAGCAATCCGGCCTTAGCTCAGTTGGTAGTAGCGGCAAACTGTAGCAGCGCCGATGCTGCGAGCAATGGCGCCACAGGCATCTGTAGGTCCCCGATTCAACTCCGGGAGGCCGGAATCGACAGCTCGCGTGATTCTTTTCGCCACTTGTGATGAATGATACATGGGCTTTTTCGTGGATGTGATCCGGAGCATAGAGGCTTCGTTGACAGCTTTCGTACCCATCGTCCTCCCTGGCAAATCCGCCCCTCACCCATCCCGACAGCAAACCCCCTGCCCGTAATAACATGATTCCTTATCGAATTTTGCAGTCCCAAAGCCTTTTCATCTTGAAACGTCCAACAGGCGCCAGTACTCAAAAGTTGACACCAACAGCCCTCGTCTTGAAAACGCTACTTTCCACAGTCTTACTCCGGATCTGGTGTTTCTCACTTCTCAGTTCACCATACATTACAGTACTCCTGGAACACCGCGCTTGGTGGTGTTGAGCTTGATGATGTAATTCAGATGCGCGCATCGATTTCCTCAGCCAGCGTCCAAAAAAAAGGATTGGATGATTTTTCAATGAAAAGGAGTGGGGCCTTGAGGTTATGGGCCGCGCGTCATTAGGACTCTCGACTCAATATTTGAAATGCAGCATGCATCCACCAACTGTCAATGTCGCCAAAGGTTGCGACTCTTTTGGATTTTTCTTCTGATTGAGGAGATTTTGCTTCGCTTGCTTTCTTTCATTTTCACTTGTCAAGATGTATGTATAGCGGCCCGGCTAGCTCAATCGGTAGAGCGTGGGACTCTTAATCCCAAGGCTGTGGGTTCGACCCCCACGCTGGGCGCTTCTGTGGAATGTAAAGGTGGCAATTGGATTGCTGCGGTATTCACCCATGCCGGACAGAGCTTCCGTGGAGGTGCTGGACCTGCGCATCACCCGGATATTGGGAAATAACCGTTTGCAAATGGGTCGGATGAACATAGGCACGACACTGCTTTTCGTTTTTCCCCCTTGTAGGCCTATCTTCGCAGAACACTCTTCTTGGAAGATCTGGACGGTATTTTATTTGGTGTGCGCATTCTACTTTGGACACTTTAGAGGATTCCAATCAAAACCAGAGCCTTGAGGTCATGATTGGCGCGTCCTCCAAACTTCATACTTGAAGTTCAAGTCAATCCAGCTTGAATCTCTCTATTGCCGCAGCTGATCCTTGCAACCTTCTTTCAATCCATCTCTCGGGCTCACCCATATGCTTATGCTCGGACTGCGGTTGACGTGAATCCCACATTTGTGTTGCTTGTCTGTATTGATTTTTTTCCAGGAAGGTTCTTAAGCACGTTGTCAGCTTGTGAATTTGTGCATTCTCTCACGACCCCTGGGTCACCGTAGCATTGTGGGTGCGAACATGTCGATTCACACATCCCCACCAGCTGTCCAACAAAGATGCGCTTATAAAAACGCGCTCCTTTCACGTCCTTTCCTAACATCTAAGCGCCGCACTCTTCACATCCCTTCGCCAAATCAAGCACATCAATCTTCTTGCCACCAGTCATGCGCACTTCTCTCGTCGTCGTGATCGCCCCTTTTGCCTTGGCTCTCCTTGGCTCGCTACCCACCACCGCGGAGCCTCTCCCTGGTTACTATGATGGCAAGAAGTACGACGGGTACTACGGCAAATACAGCTTCGAGCAGACCTGTATGTACACCGAATCCCATGACCACTGCAAAAACGCCTTTCTTCATGATCGTGGTTCAAACGTAGCGCCCCTTTTCCTTTCGTTGCCATGTGTGCTGATTGTACACCTGTTCTTCAATTTCTTCTTCCTTATCACAACAGATGAGCAGTGCTTGAAGATTTGCCACGCCAACAAGGACAAGAAGTACCAGGAGCGGTGCTTCTACCAATGCGAAGCACTCAAGAAGGCCGCTCACCGCAACGAGTACTGGGATGGCAAGTACGGTCACTACGATGGGAAATATGATGGGAAGTACTACGGCCACGGATTTGAGGGCAAGTACGACGGGAAGTACTATGACGGAAAGAACTACGATGGGAAGTATGACGGAAAGTACTATGACGGAAAGTACGACGGAAAGTATGATCATGGCAAATACTAATTTATGATAAGAGCCATTCGGCTGTATGCAATCATAGTCTATATAATCTAAGGCATGGAGTCTCAGCGACTAAAAACCCAGTTTATGAAATGATTGGAGAGCGGGTTGGGGGAACAAATTGCATTGATCCGTCAGAAAGAAATAGATTCCGTTGGTGATCTTGCTCACCCCGACACAGCAAACCTGAAAAATCAGTCTTTCGGTGAAGTAGTAAACATGCACGGATTTCTCACATGTACACGGAATCTTGAAAAACAGAGAGACACAGATCCCAAGCAAGATGCGAACGTTGCAGAAACTGTTACAGCAATGACGTGTTTTACATTGAAGATCAAATCACGGCATTTTCCATTCCAAAACTCTCAATTCTTGATCAACTCGCTGTAAAGTCGCTGGGTTGGGAAAAGGTGTCATGTATCTTTTTCCTCACCAGTGTTTTCCAGCAGGTGGCACTGCACGTGGTCCCACATCCGGCCTCAGTTGATCATGAATGCATATGGTTCCAGCAGCAGATGGAAGCGCATACTCTCTGGAAATGATAACGTTACAGGCATCTCTCTTTCAGATGTTCCGATCAAAAAAGATGGAGAGGAGTGCAACGGTGATGGTGTATACATACGCATGCAAAACGAGTCCTTAGATGGGAAACGTTTTCTCTATCTGTTTTTCCGCCGGCGGCGAGCGCACGCCAAACACAACCTGCTTTGCTGTATGACACGGGATTTTGCCGAGCTCAATATGAATAAAGCTTGGTTCTTCGCTTTAATTCCTTCATCAAAATCAGCATAGGATGCCTGCAGTGACTTGGAGTAATCAATCCGGCCTTAGCTCCGTTGGTAGTAGCGGCAGACTGTAGGGGCGCCTCCGACGTGATCACGGGCGGCACAGGCATCTGTAGATCCCTGGTTCAACTCCGGGAGGCCGGAATCCCCATTTCGCGGGATTCCTTTTCCCACTTGTGATGAATGATATGTGCGATTTTTGGTGGGTGTGTTGCCGGAGCACAGAGGTTTCCTTTTGACACCTTTCGCACCCATCTTCCTCCCTTGCAAATCCGCCCCTCACCCATCCCGACAGGAAACCCCCCCGCCAGGAAACAGGAAACCACCCTCACCGTATGCTAATGCTCCGTGGTTGACGTGAATCCCACATCTGTGTTGCTTGTCCAATATTGATTTCCTTCCAGAAAGTGCGTTGTACGATGACGAATACTGCGACAGGAAGAACTACGACGGGAAGTATGACTGGACTTAGTCATTACAGCATCAACCAGGTTTATTACTGTTCTTGTGGTGTTCGCATCATGTTTGGGATTCGGATCTCTCTCTCTCTTTCTCAAGACTTGAAGAAGAATAAGAAGTGTCCACAATTCCTTCTTTCTCTTCCTTTCCTTTCGAACACCGAAACACACCTGCCCAAGACCGCCATCCTTAAGCTTACCGATGATGCACTGATTCCGCTCCTGATTCCGGGGAACCCGGCAGCAACTCCTCAAACACAATCCTTCACATGTCCGGATTCACAACCCCATTCTTTTTGTGGTCGTTCCGAAACAAAGATTCTTCCCATCCCCGCATCCGACTCAGAGCAATGGTCTGTGGAATGATCGAAACAAAAAGGACAAGTGGCGACGGCTGAAAAAAAAAACGTCCTTGAGTCTGATTTGAGGAACGTTCCGAAGCCAAAGGGTATGTGTGTGTGTATGTGTGTCTGTTGGAAGTGTGTGTTGAAAATGAATGGGCGGAAGTTTGCGAATACCACCAAGAAATAAGAAAATAGAAGAGAAAGAAAGAAAAAGAGGGGAATACCGACGTTATCCAGGGGAGTTTGGAAGGTTTATCAGGGCGCTACATTGTTTCTTCTAAGACTTCAAGAATTGTTTCATTCAAGACTTGTTTGAGAGTCTTTCCTTTTCCCAGCGTCGTTGCATATGGATCTTTCCCATCTGTTTCTCATCTCCCTCCCACCCCCTGCTGAGTTTTTAACACTACTCGACCCTTTGTTTTTGAGTGAGACTTTCCCCCATTCCCATCCCTGGCATCTTCAGCAACACGAACCCTCACAATAAAGACACCTGAAATGAACGCCAAATATAAAAAGACAATCGGAATTTCGCTCAAGAAAAGGGGCCTTGGCTAAGAAGGACGAGGTCCCAACCCTTTAACCCGACTTGTCCTATAATATCTCTTTCCGTTTTCGTAACTTGTGTTTTTTGTTCTCGACTCACTACTGTTTTTCAAGCACCACATTGACACATGCTCGGAACGACATTAATTCAACTATACCAAACAATATTCTTCGGAGAAGTCGCTCGAAAACGAAGCTACTTTCAACCCGATATTCAATTTGAATTTCGGGGGGGAAAGGCGAAAACGAAGAATAAGAACGGGCTGCGGGCTGCTGGCATGGGTTGTGGAGCTCAGCTTGGTTTATTTAGGAAGGTGGGTTGGTGTTCGTTGCCCCGCTGCCCAAGAGAGTTTGCCCACCGCAACGAGTATTGGGATGGCAAGTACGGTCACTACGAAGGGAAATATGATCATAATAGAAAGTACCACGGCCACGGATTTGAGGAGCAAATACTGATGGGAATTGCGACGGGAAATACGATCATAGCATATACTAGTTTATGATAGAGGCGTTCGGCTGTAGGCATTCATATTCATAGTCAAAGGCAAACCAGATCCCATTGATCTTGCTCACCATGCAGCAAACCCGAAAACATGAGTCTTTCGGTGAAGTAAACATGCGGATTTCTGAGTTATATACGTACAACAGCTCGAAAAAGAGAGAGAGATCCCAAACATGATGTGAACATCGCAGAAAGAGCAACAATGTTCAAAGGATGCTAGAAAACAAGTACAAGTCGAAAATAAATGCTATACTTGCGTTTCGGAAAGAGAAAAGGAAAGGAAAGGGGCCGTCATATAGATGACGCAGAATAATTCTTTTCCAAGACCTCAAGACTTTCAAATGCAGCTACCCAGACTCGCCTCATTGTGATCTCCTTCTGTGAGGACGTTGTTTCCTTTCGCGGTGCTTTTTCCTTCGACCCCCTGCTAGGTACTACTTGGCTGAGGATATCTTTTGCTTGCGCATCACTTTTTCTTTTTTTCTCTTTTTCTTTCTTTTCAACCCCGCTTGCACGTACACGACCAATCCTCGGCGCCTATTTCGAGCAGGATTTTTTCCCATGATAGCTTAACGCGTCGTGAATCTTTTCCCATCGCGGCGGGTTTCAATACTGGTTGAAGATGGTGACAAGAGAAGTGGCATGTGACAGGGTCTCGGGCCGGAGTGTTTGACTTTGCCCAGACCTGGGTCCAATCGCCTTTCTACAACGGGGTTCGGACGCAATTACACCCCAGACCTGGTTACAAGCGAATTCTCGTAAACCCCACATCAAATAACTATTGGGCCCGCCACAATGGGAAATGGTTCTCGACGCGTTAGGCCACAACGCAAACTCAAACACTCTGGCCAAGAATTGTGAAGCTCAATTAGCATTCGACTTTCCCGCCTCCGCACCTGCCGTCCCCCTTTTTCAGAGTTTGCCCGCCCCGTCCTTGACCTGTTCCTTTCAACGTTACGTTACACACCCCATTTTTCTGTTCACCCCCCAAAAACCCTGCACCACACCCAAAACCTCAACCCACACACCAACAACAACAATGCTCCCCCTCGCCCGCACCACCACCCGCCTCGCCACCCCGGCCGCGCGCCTCGCCCTCCAACGCCGCGCTGCAAGTGGAACCAGCGTCTTCGCTCCCTCCCACCTCGCCAAATTCTTCCCCCAAGTTGAATTGAAGGGGACGACCACGTTGGGTGAGGTTTGGGATGCGGTGTTTGCCAAGTACAAGTACAGGATGGTGTACCCCGTTTTGGCGTGGGTTGGGTTTTGCTACTGGGCTATGTGGACTCCGTAAGTAGACTGTGGATGAGGGGGGGAAGTGGGGGTTGAGACGAAGTGTGGTCAGATGACTTGGGGGTGAGGGAAGGGAGTCCGTTGTGAAGGTTTGGGCTCTTACGGAGCTCTGTTTTGGGTTTTGATAAACAGGTACCAAGATCCCGTTGAACGCAAGAAGATCCAAGCTCGCATGGAGAAATTGAAGAACATGGAATACCACCAGGAGTAAAGGTTGGTATCCTTATTTTGCTTTTACTGTGGAAGCTTCGTTTTCCGGGTCTTTTCGTTCTCTTTTGTTTCGTATCTTTGTTAGTTGGAAGGCCTTGAATTGCGTTAAGCAACATGGATGAATCGGGACCAAGTTGGAGGGAGAATAACACCGAGCACAAGTTGGGAGTTTGGAGGTTGGACTTGCTCGGGGGGTTACGATAGTCGGTGGTGAAGATGTCTGTGGTGGTTGGCGGGTCATTGGAAGCTTAGACTCTCGGCTGGTTGTACTTCTGGACAACACCGGAGAGGACAAGGTCTTTCCCTATTCTTCCTCACGGTTATCGTACCAATCTGATTCTGACCTCGATATGTTCTTTTTTCTACTCTCAATCCAGTGCGATTTGTAATGGCGACCAGCGAAACGTGGGGATCCCGGACCTCCTACTCTCTCATTTTAGTGTTTAGACCTTTTCTTTTTGACGACGAAACCACGGACCAACTCAAATCAAACACAAGTGGAGGAGTGGAATGAACGGTGTTGGGGATGGGTAGTCAGGGCGAGGTTTTTTTGTGTAGGATCGAAAAAGTGGAACAAGAGATGCTTTTCTCCGTCTGATGAGATACCAAACCGTGCACAACTTGTTCCCCCGCATTCCGTGGTTCCTCCGCTTTCTTACATTGTTCTGGTTGGCGTTTTCTTTTGCTTTACCCTTCTTTTGAATCCCTCAAACGTATCCCCAAGATCTGATGTGATCCATTTACGAACCTCTATTTGTCGAAAATAATGGGTAATCAAGAGCAGGTCAAGAGGTCCACCATCCCACCATCTCAGCCGGATGTGTGCAAAAAGGGAATGTATTTCGGGGGAAAAGCCGCCTTCCATTAACTGTCCTTATGGAGAGTCGAAATGCGGGTATGGGTTTTCTTTTGGTGATTAAGAGGTTACGAAGAAATATCGAGAGGGAAGCGAGGCAAAGATGAAACCCGAATTTTCACATGATGGTATTTTGATTTGGCCTTTTTGCGTACAAGAAAGAGAAAGATTGAAAGATTGGACGACGGTGTCCCTGTCCTGACCCCTCCAGAGATCCAATGTTTGGGCGGAGATACAACGTCTGCAGAGCCTGAATCGAGGAAAAAGGGGTTTGAGAGTTCAGTGGCTGCAGATTGTAAAACCATTGATGATAGGGAGGGATCCTTGAACTGAGCACATACCCGTGTTTCAAACGCCCGATCCGCGTGCACGTCGTGTCGTTTAGTGGAACTCACGGCGGGGGTGGTAGTGCTGTGTATGATAAGGCCAGAAAGTGAGCACCATATCCAACATAGCGACTGAAACCCCTGCAATATAAGAGAATCCAACCAATCCAACTCTTCTTCCCCACCACCCTTCAGCACCCGCCTTCCCTTCGCCCTCCCTCGTCCTCAATTCTCCCACTTTCTCTACTTACACCGCCCTTGAAGTAAGCCAAGTAGTACCCAATTGGGATCATCACCCCAATAAAGTGCAAAATCGGCACAAACGAGTCCTTCGCGATGTAGTTGTCATAGTACCGTCCCCAGAACGTGTTCGAAGTAGTCTGAACCTTGGGCCCCTTAGCAATCCTGCCGTAGAAAGTCTTCATACGCGCAAAGAGTTCAGGGTGAGCTTGCGGGTAAGTTGAGGAGAGTTTGCCGAGTTCCTTAAGGGAGGAGACGTTGGGAGGGAGGAGCGAGGTTTTTGTGCGGATTTGGGACTGGAAACGCACGGAGGCGTGGAGGGAGGTGGTCGCGCGGCGGAGGGGGGTGCGGAGGAACATCGTGGTCGTTCGA